GTTACTAAAAAAATCATTTTTAAATTTAACAAAATAAAACACAAATTGGTGATGGTGGTGGCAATGGAAAGAATAGACATTTATTTATTTATTTATTATTATCTGAGAATAATAATATTTCCTAAACTAAAGAAAATTTTTTCTGCTGGGTTTTCACTCAAGGGAAAATGAACAATGGCCAGTTAACACTGTTTTAAAGCCTTTTGTGAGTAACATTTTTTGGGTTCAGTTATGTTTTGTGAAGTGTAGACTTGAAAGTCTATTACTTTAAGTTGATAAAACAATATTGCCAGATGCACTTTGAATATTTGTATTCAGGTAGATTTAAAATAGAAAAAAAAAAAAAAATTGCTCAAATTGCTGAAAGCTCAAATTGTTGTCAGTCAGTCGCAATTTTACAAAGGAATGAGAAGAAAAACAACAACTTGGCCTTCATATACACTGAAAAAGAACTCCAACTGTGAAATTGTTTATGTTCAAGAATACAAAACCAATGCAACTACAGTTGCCTGTAGCCTTGTAAAAACTGTTTCATTTTTGCCACTATAAATTTTTTGCAATACAGTTTATAGTGAACCCAATGAAATATACGTGTCAATTTTTTGTCTGCTTTAATATCGCTTTTATTTTGCGAGGTAGAAAAATGTAAAATTTGTCAAATTGAACATTTCATTTGGCACAATTAGGATTCAATCCAACTCCTTGTAATTAAAAAAAAATTATAGCAACAGAAAAAATAAATCGATTTATAGTATTCACACAAGAATTGTGGTTCCATTGAGAAACATTTGCGATCAACACAACAAGTTTAATCACAGATGGAGATTTTTAGATTAATCTACATGGATGAGAGCCTTGTGGAAATCAGACTAGAAAGAATACATAGTCCACCTCAAAACAACGATGCATGTACACACTATAGTGAATTTAAATCAGCCATCTGTCTCTTCAAAATGTCAAAAATATTAAGAGTAATAAGCCACAGTCCTCAGTGTGTTGTTTCAATTATATTCAGTAGCCTTTGTCAAACACATTGTCTATTCGTATGAAGGCAGCAAATTTTATATTCGTACGACGACAGCCAATTTTTACTATCTGCAGGTGTATTGAACAATGAGAATGGTCAACAAAACAATTACAGTATAAAGTGAGTATGGAGCAGAAAATGTTCTTTTATCAGGATTCTCATCTGTTTTTTTTTTTAAATTATACCATATTATTTTAAACAGATACATCTACGGCAAAGCATGTTGAGAACATAAAAGCATGTAGCTTTAATTTTACCGTAGTGGTTGTGTACTTTTGAAACTGAAGTGGAACTTTCTGTCGCTGATTTATGCTTTCTATTGTACGTCATTATTTAAACTTTTATAGTAGAAAATTAATAACATCTTTAGAAAAAAGCATTTTCATAATTTTTATGAAATTAGTTTTCCAGCCCTCCAGTGCAAATTAACACAAAATCCATGTATTTGTTTCCATTATATGGTAATTCAAGGCGTAGTATTAAAAGGTTTTAAAAATGTGTATACAATTTTTTATATTATTTTAAATGCATATCATATTTCTACGTACTGTGTGAGTAAATTAAAATCAAATTGCACATTATTAGCGTCAAGTTTCCTCCTATCTATCTTGTCAAATTTTCAATATTCTTACCAACTCATTTTAATTTAAATCAAAACTGAGGAGTTACTAAACAGCACTGCAAATGGCAAAGGCAGCAGCGGTGGCGGTGGTAGCTGCGGCCATGTTGGTGACATAAAAATTAACCTTACAGGAGTCTGCAATACATTACAAATTACCAACATCTCCATACAATATTGACAAAATAATCAATGTATTTTGGAAACAAAAGATAAGTATAAAGCCACAATATGGACAGAGTGAATAATACAAAATTTTCTCATATCACTGAAAAGTACAAAATAATTTCTAAAAATATTAATTTCTATCACGCGTATTAATGTTGATCAGAATGAAATCTACGCCATTTAATCAATGACAATAAAATCGTAATAACATGTTTGTGCATGTCTGTGTAATATTAAATGCACCAAACATTTATTAAACTAAGTCAAAAATTCATTTTGACACTGGAGGAAATAATTGTAAACAGCAACCAGTATAAAATCTGAGTTGAAACGTAAATGTATTTTGTGTTAGCAAGGATAACTATTGATAAACCATAATTTGTTGCCATTGTTATAAGCTGAACATTATCTATCCATGTCTCTGATTGCCAGATAGAACCTACTGTCATGCAAAGATCAAAATCTAATAATTCAATCTACTATAAATATTGATGAGATTTAGTGTGAAAAGTCTCCATAAAAATTATATAGATCATTTTGAATAAATCTCAATATCATTGTTGTCATGACAACATAATCCATATGCACCAGTTACTCATTTAATCAGTTAGTTGCTTGTTTCACAGCAGCGGTTATAGCGACATGTAATACACAATCGTTCAATAATTTCCACGACTAAGGACAAATCCAAAATATCAAATTGTTTTAAACATGTTGGTGTGAGTGCGTAACTCGTTATGACATCACATATGGGAATGATAAGGATGAATATTAGGTAGACTACTTTGGAATCAATGCAGCTTAAGTAGTAATCTTACGTAGGAGGGTGTGATTTCCACAACAATTCTGAAAATCTCCCCCGAGGAGTTTTTTATGCAGCAATGTTTTCCTACCGCAGGACATTGAGGAGAGAACATTTACAATCGCGTAACATTGTGAAGAGGTTAATGAGGTGAAAATGTTATTTATTTTTGGTTGGCAGAGAAAAAAGATTTCTGGTCCATTAATTTTCTAAAATAAATGCAGGTACACTTAAATAAAAAATGTTTTTCCATGAAAAATTGAATTGATTTTTTTTGTTTCACAAAATTTTTTTTTTTTTGGCGAGATATTTATTTCTATGAAAAATCTAATATTAACTGGTATCATGTAGCCCCATGACAAGCAACAAATACTAACTGCAGACTCTTCTCAAATTAAAATATAATTTAGCAGATTAACAATTAGCAATTCAGATTGAAAATTGCTGCTAAAAAAAAAAACCATGAACCAAAAAAAGAAAAAAAACCTGATCAAAACTAAAATGGTTACTTCACTTCATGCTCTACATGACCCCGTCCCGCAAAACTGTCAGTACACGACCCCTCCTGCAAAGCTAGCAGTAAATTTTAATATCATGCCTAGTTATAAATAAAATGTAATATAACCAGAATGCGAGTTACATTAAATAAAGGCATTAAAAACTGTATGACATTTATATTCCTGTAAATTTACTTTGTGCGTATACCTCCTTAGTCAATGATGTACAGACTTCTTTAAGGGGGAACAAAATATTCCCTTGGGCATAAATGACATTTTAGTGAAAAACCAACCAACATTTTCTGTCACATCGAAAGGTTTTCATATTGACTGTTTGCTATAATGATAGATACAGAGGGTCATCACAGGTCAGCGCTGTAACGCAGAAAGATTGAATCGCGTAGATTACACTACCTTGTCCATGTCATTGTAATTAATTTTTTCATTATTACCTGCCAGAGTAGATTTTTCACAATTTTAATGGCTATATGTCATCATAAAACTACATACATGCAAGAAATTCATAATAAAGCCGGAGTGCATCTGCAACTTGAGCTCGGCTAACTTTAAGACAAATGGTCGGGCAGTATGATGGAAGTATTTGCTACGGAATTAGCATCACTGCACACCTCCACTTGCCCAACTTCAGTTATTTTGGTACAATTTCAAATTGGCAAATTCGGTATTCTGCGTAGCCTAACAAGCCTACATTCACGGATATTTATGAAAAAGAACACATTTCTATAGCACTGCATCAAGCGTAGATTGTGATTTAAACGGAATCTAAATTAGTCGTCAATTCTATATAATTCTTATAATACGTTCAGTTCAGCATGAAGTCATACACGTCATTCGCTTCCTTAGAATAAATCGCACATGTAGATTATATATGAAATGGATACAGTAAAATTGAGACTTCATTTGTTTAGTGATGCAACACAAGTCAGTTTCAATACAAGTAGACTACATTCTCACATTTCATTTCAAAATTATTTAGTTTTACTAATAAGAAGAATAAAATTTGGATGTTTGGATTTATTTACAGAAGACGATTGCAATTATAAAATAAGAAAAAAAATTCAATCCGGAGAATAGTATTAAATTTATATAGATTTATTGACCTATGCTGTCAGAATTATAAAACATTAAAAACGCACTTCTATAACCAGATTAAACATTACTTTAGAGATTAGAAGTGATCAACTATTACTTGACCACAACGATGACGACAATATGTGTTGTAAGAATAATTTGAAAGCATCACAAAGCTAAACTGACATGACAGGAAAGAAAAAACACAGATCACTGAACTATTCAAATTAAAAGAATTGAAAAAATATTAATACCAGGACAGATAAAAAAATTAATAAAACTATGATACTTATAAAAACACACAATCCATATTCACAGATTCAGACACGATTATTAGTCAAAAGGAAGGATTAATTTAGGAAAGCAAATTTTCTGATGGATATTTGAATCGTCTATTAGGAACAAAAGACTGTACTTTAAAAGAGAGCAGTTAAATTGGAGCTACTCGGAGCTTTTATCAAAAACACGGTATAATAATAATAGAGTGCTGACAGGCCTAATAAGCACATATGGCATTAATCTGTTTGGCAACTATTAAAATAAATTAGTACACAAGTTTTGCCATAATTACCCGTCTGCTGTTACAGTATTGAAATTGAACAAATTTCAAGTAAATATATTAGGAAGGAGGCCAAAGAAATAATAATACTAACGATACTAGGGAATGGGCCCTTGTTAACAGCGATGCTATAATAGACGACTCAAGCTATATTGCGGCTGACAGCCACTATGGTTATCCTAGAACAAAAGAAGAACAGTCGTAGATAATGTGTATTTTGATAACGATATACATACCAGGAAAGTAAGGATTCCCATTCAGCACAACTTGTTGTGTTATATAAATCCCACAGAATTGAGGCATCAAATGGTTAGTTAAAGATGGTTCTTTCCGTCTCCTGTACTGTGTTCTCCAACTTGTACTTACACAGTGGACACACACACAACAGTAACATGTGGGTTATAAATATGCAAATGAGGGTCGTGTCATGGTTGGCTGATCAGGGTCATGTGACACAAATGATTGGCTTCCCTCTTTGTTATGGAAATAGCGCTTCTGTAAAGGGAAGCCCATGGACAGTTCTATTTTTCACATAGGGGTGATTTTTTTGATTTTTTAAAAGGAGCAGATATGCTGGATTTGACTTTTTTCTAATCAGAGACTTATAAAGCAACACTAAATATTAAAATAACTGTTTTTTGTACTAGTGATGGAAAGTATTTAGGGTTGGATACAAATTGCAAATGATAGCAAGAGGAATATCAATACAGTACAAGTTCTTGCGATTTTAGTGTATTTTCAGTCTTACAAAAACAGGAGTCTGCTATAAAGATAACATTTGCAGTAGTAAGGGAGTAATCATTCATTCTCGTTCCAAACACTCAATTGTTGTATAATGAAATTTATGCTTTAAAAGAAAAATCTAATCAAATTACGACATTAAAACAAATTTCTGACAGCAAAATTAAATTTGCAACATCAGAAATTACTGTCCAGTCCCTGGGGTAATTTGCTGATAAATAGCTTAAACAAAGAGCCAATCATGGACAAGGAAATGTGTGCCCGTTGCCCGGGAATAACAATTGTATATATAATTGATTTACCAAAATCTGTTGTATGAAATCAATTTCCACAAAAATGAGATTTTGAATATGTTTTCATCGTTGATATAGACACGTTATGACCTGAATTGCTGTTGTAGATCGTTGAAGGTTCAGTTTCCCCTCGATTTTTTCATTTGATATCGATACTCCTTGTAAATCAAGCAATTACATGGATAGCAAGTGAACTAGTCACTGAACACTTCAAAGTGTTGGAGAAAATTAAACAATGAATTAATAATGTCATGGGTATTAAGAAATCAATATATAATGCAGGTAATACCACTCCTAGCAATTGCCTCATGGCAAAAATTAACACCTTTATGGTAGTATCAGTGGGGGGTGTTTATCAGCGCTGTGTGCGAACATACGATCTGGGGGCTGAGGTTAATCTTAAATCCTCATCTGTTTGGGCAATACAGCATCACATGACCTATGTTGGATTGATGATTTCTCCAATGTAAATTACGAAAAACTTCAATCATTTTCAAAGTACTTGTTTAAGAGGAATCTAAGATGACAATATTTGGGAGTACTCTCTATACGGTATTTCGCAAAGTTGGTGTGAGTCACTTCACACATTAAGAACAAATGTTTTTTTGTATTTTGTCTGACTCACAAATCTTGTAAATTTAAAGTGATTTACAGTGCAAGCAACATCGGTCATTAAGAAAATAAATGCATGTGATCATGAAAGAGTTTTTTAAAAGCAATACTGTTTTCATTTGCCTTATAGCTATAAACACCTTTTAAATAGGTACAAAATGTTAACCTTAAACACTCCGATTGAACAACTGTGTCATCCTCAAACAAAATAATTCTCTTCACTAGTTGCTTAATTCGGAACTGCCGACAAAATTCTCTCAGTTAAACATTAAATTAGTTTGAAGCAAAAATATCACTAAAATATTTGAAAAAATTGCGTTAAAAATTTTTGAGAAAATAATGGTGAAAGAACTGCATGACCTGAGAAGAAAATATCAATGACAAAAATAAAAATTAGAAATTCACAAACGAGCACTCAATGCACATTGTTATATAATAGAAGGGGAATTCGCAAGGTAATTAGGAAACAAGAGAGATACTTGTCATCTCCTTCTGAGAGTGGGAAAATAACATCTGTACTACAGAATGAGGGATTGCACTGTTGATGGTATCCCAGAATTCATTAGCTACCATGACTACAGATAAACAAAAATAACTCAAGATGACCTAGAATTATATAAGAAGCAGCAAAAGTCATTACATTTTATTATGTTTAAAAATTGATAACAGGATGTTTGAGTGAAAAAAAAGATTAAATTATTACTATCATGCTATTATAGTTTTTTTTTTAAATTCTAAGTTTATGAGAAAGTGTCATTAACAACTGAACTGAATGAAACTGAAATTAATGATGGATTTGTTCTAAATTTGAAAATTATAATGTTAGTAGCTAGACTTAAGGATACATATCTGCACGAGAAATGTACATCATTACAAGTCTACGAAACAAACGATATGTTAATATCATATTTGATACAATTACCACCAATCATGATGCAAACTACCAGTACACATGATTGGCAGAAAAGGATTCAACCACTGGTGTGGAAAAACAAAAGAAATTATTTGTATTGTTCAATTTACAATAATTGTAGAGTACAACAAAAGGGGATACGTGACCTTACAACACAATGTAGGCACTTTGATTGACAGCTGACATGCCAGAGAAAAATTAAATCAAAACAAAACACAGTGCATACAATGCATTGTGATTGACACCAACCAATACTGTATTGTCAAACTAGTAATTGGCTTAGGGTTCAAACTAAAAAATATGTGCAAAAAAAAAAAAAAAAGCTCTCTAACAACACTCAATGATAAAGAACAGTTGCGTGATGACAATCCGCCTCTTGAACGCTAAGCTTCTTGAAAAGGAAAGTCAGCTTTGACAGGATCTGATCATTTTGCAAGTTTGGATTAAAGCAAGATAAACAGAGAATAATTAACTCAGGCAGTGATGGGATATGTAGTTGGAATGACAATCTCGTTTTTCAAACTCTGTATATCAAAAAGAGTTTGGTTCAGGGTAATAATGTATGAAGTGAGTAAAGTCCACCTGCCACTGTGAATTGTGTATTCCTTATGAGAATAGCAAAGAGAACACACTTATTGAAACCAAAGATGAGAGAAACCACACAACTGTGCAGATAAGACTATGTAGAGGATTTCAATAAGAAGAACAGAACTATTATACCAAACAAAAATCAATAACAAACTCGGCAAATTAGTCTGGATTATGGTCAACCATCCTGATCACATTTAGATCAGGTCCATCTGATTCTCAGTTTGGTTTCCATTGTGAAAATATATACACATGATGTTAGAAATTCAGATTCCCATTCCTTGTGAGAATTGAGTAATGCCATCTGCTTGTCCCTAATTCCTAATTTAAAAATCTTATCATTTTACGTTTTAAAGGCAAGAATAGAACAAAAAATGATTAGTTTCATGTAGCAGAGATTATTTAAAGGTTCACGTAGCGAAAAGGGGACTTAAAGGCTCATGCAGCAAAGAGAGGACAAGTTAATTCCTTTTGTCTATGGAACACTTTTGTTTTCCATTGAATGTTCTAATCTCTTTATAATCTGTTTATAATCCGGAAAATGAAATAAAACCTTACAACTTATGTTTTTACCAAAAACTATGCATATTTAATAAAGTGTATTGTCTGTATTCCATATAGTTACTACCACTGCCACCATGTATGTAACAACATTTAGATTTACATTGTTTTAGCAATAACTTAAAACTACTAGCTGCTAGCTTGATATGAGTTATTGATTATTGTATTAATTGATTCAATTAAATTACATTAAATTAGTAGTCATCATGTTCTGTATAAAAACTACAAAATGTCTCATCAACGACAACAACCTGACCACATTAAATTCTAGGTAATACTGGGATCGACAAATGGAACACTAGGTAAATATTTTATAAGGCCCGTAATTGCATACTCTATAGAAATGTGAATTTAATAAAGCTTATCTTGAATTGTCCACCAATGAGGCAGAAAATATGTTGATAAAACTTTGTGTCAGTCAGGCTTATTGTGAAAACTAAACAACCGTATCTCCTTTTCATTCTATAGCTACATTGAATAGTAGATGAGAGAGAAGTTCGCATAATCAAGTCCTTCACAAATATATTCATGAAACATATCTATTTTGCAAGTTTTCAATCAAGTTCACGTATTTGTTTGTTACTGCAGAAAAATAATGTCCTGTGATCTCTAAAGTCTTTTTACTCCGCTGCATCCATTTTTATTGTCACATGCTCAATTTTGAATACTTAACAAAAAGTTCAATTGTAATCTTCAATGTTAACGTTCAAAGTATATACATGTACAAGCAAAATGCATTTATTTTGACGACATTTACATCCCCAGATTACCATTTTTTTCAAAAGTTTTGCGATTATTAGATCCTACGAATCTGAAAGTAGTATGTGTAATGTTAGGGCAGAGTCTATAGTCACAATAAATGTAATTTTTAGTTTAGAGATGTCTTATAAATGTCCTGTCTTAAATTATGAAATGCTAAAGATTTCTAGTGAACAACAATTTATGCGGTTTATGTTGACTCATGTTTTTTTTTTTTTTTTTATGCATGATTACATCTAGTTTTTGTGTCTCTTTATGTCATTGTACGTTACATACATGTAGATGTGATAAAAACATGTTAAGCCAGTGTAAATAGGCTTAAAAATGGCGGAGTTAAAACTCCTTCAAAAGGGGTATCTGAGAAAACTATTACCGGGGGTATGTAAGAAAAATGAAATTAAAGACTAATCACAATTCATGATATCATACTCATTAATCAACAAAATTGTCTTCTGTTAGGTGCAACAATCAAACATATTATTAATTTTGCCAACATGCCAATGACAAAATATTCAAAATTTTAATGAGCACTGTTTAGCTATTCAAATTGTCAAATTTATACACAACAACCTTCAGCACCAGACAGCAACACCTACTGATTCACAAGTGATTTTTTTTTCCCGTCTAATTTAGTATTAATCTTTGATTGCTTTTTATCATTTTATCTTTTTTTATGTTCTTTTACTTTGCAATTTACATAACTTTTATCTTTTAAGATCTTACTGCTATACTTTCCAAACTCAGTGTTGTGTCAATGATTTTAAAACCAGATGTGTGAAGCGTGAGTGACCATGTAGAAAATGCGTTACTGTGTAACACTTATACTGGCGTAAAACATATGTGAACACAAAACGGGGCTCAAATGCCATCACACAACGACCATTAATGTTAGGTCAACTGTATTCTCATTTAACCAA